AGAAAAAAACCAAGATGTGTTGACCAACATGGGCAGATCAGGGCCTACGTGTCCTCTGCAAAACATCCTTCCCTGAGAGCCGAGTGCCCCCGCCGCCCCCGCCCCTCTCTTGCCTCTGAAACCCTGGCTTTCCCCCCAGGCCTTGGGCTCCGGGTACGGAGAGCTTCTTACGTGATTGTAGGTTAGTCCAAATGCTTTTTTCTTCTGGACAAGCTTTGCTCTTTTATTATATCGGTTCTTGCTGTTTTTATTGTTCTGTACAGCCCAGAGTCTTTATGGAGTTGGGCAGTCTTCTTAATTGCGGAAGGAAGGAAGGAAGGAAGGAAGGAGGGAGGGGGGAAGGAAGGAAGGAAGGAGAATGAGGGAGGGAGGGATTATCAATTTTCTTCTGGACAAGCTTTGCTCTTTTATTATATCGGTTCTTGCTGTTTTTATTGTTCTGTACAGCCCAGAGTCTTTATGGAGTTGGGCAGTCTTCTTAATTGCGGAAGGAAGGAAGGAAGGAAGGAAGGAGGGAGGGGGGAAGGAAGGAAGGAAGGAGAATGAGGGAGGGAAGGAAGGAAGGAAGGAAGGAGAATGAGGGAGGGAAGGAAAGAAGGAAGGAAGGAGAATGAGGGAGGGAGGGATTATCAAACGAGAGAATATTGCAAGGTTACAGTAACAGAATCTTGCAAGTCTGAAAGAACCTCTCTCCCCCCTTCCTTTACTTTCCATGGAGCCAGGGAGGGTCCCTCCTGAGACGCTTCCCACACCCCCACAACTTCCGTGGGCTGAGATGTCTCCTATCTCACCATTGCCCTGGGGTCGGCTCTTCCTCCTCCTGTCTCTCAAGGATATTCCCAGAGACCATTATCCCCAGCCCAAATGGAGTAGCTGAGTCCTCCCCCCCCCAACATCGCCTGCTTAAAAAGTCATATCAGAATCCCCCTTGCCCTCACTCCTGTTTCAGTCACTTGCCTTCACAACAGTCTTATGAAGTAGGCCACCTTGAGTGGCTGGCTGGGGAATTCTGGGAGTTGAAGTCCACCCATCTTAAAGTTGTTGAGGTTGAAAACACTGCTCTAGACCATGATTTACTACTGAGAATGTCTGGGATCCAGAACAGGTTGTCAGATAAGTTTTCTTAATGGAAAGAACAGTGGTCAGTTCCATTTCACTGGATTCTCCAAGCAGAAACTGGACCGCGCTCTGTCGGAGAAGCATTAATTTAGAATCCTTCACTGAGCGGGGGGTTGACTTGATGTCCTCACAGGCCCCTTCCCATTCTATAATACTCAGACTTCGGTGACCTGTGTGGCCCACACCCAGGCTGTCCTCGAAAGGGCCAGAACAGGGGTAGCGTAATTTTGCCAGGCCTGGACGATGAAAAGCACTAGGCTCGATCCATCTTTGCAAGGCAGGATGCAAGTTTCGGTGTCACACAGAAGCCTTGGGCTGCCGGTTCCGTTGCAAACCCAGCTGGCCGCGACGGTTGGGGGTGCTTCAGTTTTCAGCGGCGGCATTCAAATGAGCCTCCTTCTCTTCTCGAGGGGAGTTTAGCAATCGATGGCACAACCTGCTAGAAAGGTGGAGACCCATCAGTTGGCTTCCTGGGGCTGCTAAAAAGAACCGTCTTGTGAAGCCCAGAACACAATTACAGATGGAAAGGAAGTGGCCGTGCAAGAAAAGAGGTAACGAAGCCAGAACAACAGGAAGTCAAGCAAAAAATGAGGCAGACTGAAAGTATTGTACACACAAACACACACACACCCAAATTGAGAAGGAAAACTGGTAGAAATCCACACTCTCTCTCACAGATAATACTAATATTATATTCATCCTCCCCTTTGAATTGCACCGGCCTAGCCCTTCCTTGCCATTTCTGGCTTTGAGTTTACCGTAGAAGAAACCATCACAAGAGCCTTTGAGCACGTGCAGAGCGTTTTTCCATGCAAGGGGAGGAAGGACTATTTTCCTGGCAAATCCATTTTCAGAAGTGGATTAAGTCTCTTCAGTCCTAGGTCTCTTCATACATAGCAGG